GTTACTCACAAATACATAACTCAAGCAACCAAACATGGCTGTACACAAGGAGATTACCAGATGGCCAATACGGAAATCAAAGAGACTATGTAATTAAAAGCAGGAGATGGAGAAGCTGTATTCTGTCTGCCACAACATGACCAGTAGTAGGTTGCAGTATTGATCACAAACTGTTAATATCCAACATTAGAGTAAATCTAAAGAAGTGCACTAAAAGACTCCCAGTACAAAAATATAATGGAAATAACATTTCTGATGAATTTAAAATCCATATAAAGAACAGATTTGCATTACTAAACTCAATGGACCATGAACCAGAAGAACTGTGAATCAAAATCAGAAATATTATTAGGGAAGAATGCAAAAAGACTATTCCCATAGTAAAAGGAAAATAAAAACCTAGATAGATGATGGAAAAAACACTTTAAAATGTTAAGGACAAGTAGGAAGCAAAAATAAAAGGTGACAGAAGTAGGGTCAGAATTCTGAATGCAGCTTTTCAGTAACTGTCACATGGAGATACAACGGCTAGTGTAAAAAAATAGAAGAGAACAACGAAAGAGGGAAAATAAGAGATCCCTTCTAGAAAATCAAAGAAATCAAAGGGAAATTTAAAGCTTGACTAGGAATGCTAAAGCAATAGGAAGGAAGTACACTATCTGACCAGGAGAAAATAAAGATAAGGTGGAAACAATATTCTGAAGACCTATACAGAAGAGATAAAAGGATGACTGGTTTCTTTGAAGAAAAATCCTATGGTAAAGAATCACTGATTCTATAAAGCAAAGTCCAAACTTCTCTGAAAGCTCTGGAAGAAACAAATCACAAAGGGTAGCCGGGATACTAATAGAACTATTGCAAGCCATGGAGATGAAGGCTGTCAAAATCCTGATGAGGATATGCCAACAAATATGGAAAACAATGCAATGGCCCACAGATTGGTAATGTTCAATATACAATACATTCCAATCCCTAAGAAAGGGGATGCCATGGAGGGTAGCAACTAAGTTGCTCTAATTTCCCATGCAAGCAAAGTGGTGTGCAAAGTCCTGCAATAAAGGCAATAAATGGAGTGAGAAATGCCTGACCTTCAAGCTAGATTCTGAAAAGGAAGAGGAACTTGAGATCATATTGCAAATACTCACTGGCTACAGGTATGCACCAAAGAATTTCAGAAGAAGATCAATCTCTGCTTTATAGACTACAGTAAAGCCTTTGACTGTGTGGATCATGAGAAGCTAATTATAATTTGAATTTCAGTCTGTTTTGTATTGATTGTATTATATGATTTGTTATTGTATTTTAGTGTTATATATGAAATAATGCTGACCTATGATTGTAAATAATAAGTAATAAAGTAAGTTCAGAAAGAAATAGGTGTGCTTCAGCAACTGATTGTTCTCATGGGTTACCTGTACTGTAGACAAGAAGCTACCAATAGGACAGAATATGGACAGACAGAATAGTTTCCTATAGACAAAACTGTCAAACAAGAGTGTATTTTATCTGACGATCTGTTCAATTTATATGCAGAACATAACATACAGAAAGGTGGACTGGATTCAGATGAAGGAGGAGTGAATATTGGTGCAAGAAAAATCAATAGGTAAAGGTAAAGGTTGCTCTTGACATTGAGTCCAGTCGTGTCTGACTCTAGTCCAGTCGTGTCCAAGCCATAGGGCGAGCATTTTTGTCCAAAGACAGTGTCCGTGGTCATGTGGCCAGCACGACTAGACACAGAACGCCGGTACCTTCCCACCAAGGTGGTACCTATTTATCTACTTGCATTTTTACATGCTTTTGAACTGCTAGGATGGCAGGAGCTGGGACAAGTGACGGGAACTCACTCCGTTGCGTGGATTCGATCTTATGACTTGCTTGGTCTTCTGACCCTGCAGCACAGAGGCTTCTGTGGTTTAACCCACAGCACAGTGGTTAAACTGCTGCCAAGACTCTGCTCACAATCTACATTTGATCCTGACAGGCTCAAATAGACAGACTGAAGTTGACTAAGACTTCTATTTGGGGGGAGGGGATTATAGCCTGCATAATTAATTAAATTGCAAACCACTCAGATAGTACTTTAAGCGCTGTGGGGCCATATACAAGCAGCACACTTTTCATTTGCTTTTATTTGCAGATGGCACCATCTTACTGGCAGAAAGCGACAATGACTTTTAGTAAAAGAAGAAAGTGACAAAGCAGAACTTCAGCTGAACATTAAGAAGACAAAAATCATGGCTACTGAAGAACTTGACAACTTTAATATTGAGAACAAAGAAATTTAAATTGTTAAAGATTGTATAAACCTTGCTTCAGTCATCAATCCAAATGGAGACTGCATCCAAGAAACCAGAAGAAGAATGAGACTAGAAAGGGTAGCAATGAAGAAATTAGAAAAGAGCATCAAGGATGTGTTACCGGAGACCAAGACCAAAATCATCCACACTACTGTATCCCCAATCACCATGTATGGGTGTAAAAGCTGGACAGTGAAGAAAACGGACAGTTTGGAGAGCCAATTATTTTTTAGCTGTGCTACTTGAGCCCCACCCATCATGCAGCTGCAGGTGTTCAAGCAGCAAGGGGAAAAACCCAGTCACAGGGGTTGGCCTCTAGGTCTCTTTATGAGAAAGAACCCACTTATAAGAAGACCTGCCCTGCTGTTGACCACACAGGTATAGGGTTTCAAACTTGGTTCGTTATTTCAGTTTTCTTTGCTCCCAAAGGCTGGAAGTTGTCTTTTCTCCTCTTGGAGCTCAGTTTTTGAGCCCCATCATCCCTAGGATCAGGTTCCTAGATCCACGAAGGTCTGGAATCTTCATTCTCAGACTCATGATTCCCTGAGCATCTCCAGAATCAAAAAAATCCTCCCATCCCCACAAGTTTTGGAGCATCCAGTTCCTCGGGCTCATCCTCCACTAAGGTCTTGACACCATAGCAATAAAACCGGGAGAGGGGGGGAATAACACGTACAGTAACAATTTGCTGTCTATTCAAGGCACCCCAAATCTGCTGTTTGAGGAAGCCATCTTATTGTGCATAACGGTAGTGCTGGCCCTGGCAGGAGGCCGTCATGAACCTTGCTGTCTCCTTCCGCATGTCTGCATACCCCAGCAACTGGTGTACATGTCAGTCCCTACCAGATGTGTGCAAATACTGCCTAAAGCCATTTGTATCCAAATACTTACAGAATGTGGCCGTTCCATCCCAAGCTGACTTGGAGGTGGGCTGAATAAAATTGTTCTCAGGTTTCTGAAATTGTTGGTGCAGATTTGTATGTTTCTGGATGGCGGGGAACCTAAAATGTGGAAAATAAAGAACTTTGAGCTGGGATGGAGAGCATTACCCAGCACCTTCAACTATGAGACCTTCAGCTTTTAGGCTAAGCCCATGTCTTCCTTCCTTCCTTCCTTCCTTCCTTCCTTCCTTCCTTCCTTCCTTCTGCCACTGCCTAGGAGCCATGCTCGAGGAAGTATGTGTTGTGAGTGTTGTGGAAATATGTCCCCTTAGTATCCCCTGTCAGTAGCCAGGTTTGGTCAAGTTGTCCACTCACTGCTTAGCCCAAATCAGAGTGCTTTCAGGCCAGCAACAGGCATTAAAAATACAAGAAAATGGAAAATGAGGGGAGGAGGATAGCCACATGTTGACCTAACCAATCTAAGCCCATGTAAGTATCCACTGCACAATGTTGGGAGGATAGCTGTATTGATAATCGTACAGTTATCCACTCTACAGTCACACATACACTCAGTGCTAAGACTAATGAAGGCTCACTGTAGCTGTCTAAAAGAAAATGAAAGAATATTTTAGAACACCATCCCTCTAAGAAGCAATGTATTCCCCTCCTCTTGTTGGGACTGAATGGATTCTGGTTGCTGTCAGGTGGCTGAGGGGAAAGTAGAGTCCAGTGAGGTAGACCTTGGCTCAGGAACCGGAGTTCCCAGTTTATTTTCTTCTTCTTCTTCTTCTTCTTCTTCTTCTTCTTCTTCTTCTTCTTCTTCTTCTTCTTCTTCTTCTTCTTCTTCTTCTTCTTCTTCTTCTTCTTCTTCTTCTTCTTCTTCTTCTTCTTCTATTGGCACCCCAGCTGTCAATCTACTTATGTTTTCCCCCATCTTTTACTAAAGTAATTACCACCAAGTATTTTTGTTCAGCTCTCATCATTTTAGCCCCCCCCCCCAAAACCACTAAGCGGACTCTGCTTATTTGTAGTGGTGTTCTAAACAACCCTGCATCTATTCCAGTAACATATAATGTAATAAAATAAAATAAAAATTAAATCCACACTTCTTCCCATTTTGGTACTTTTTCTTTTGAAGGTAGTACATGTCTGGTACCTTCTTTCCTCTGGTACTCGAACCAATATATGTCCATCCTGACTGACAGCTTTACCTCCTTCTACCTCACTGTTGCTTGGCTGTTACCTCCCTTCTCGAACCAGAGCCTTTGCCTCCTGTTTACTGAACAATTTACTGAATGTGTCAAGAAAGGATAAGAGTCAGAAAGCCCCCAGTAAGTCAGTAAGCCTTGGGGGGAGGGGGATTTGCCTCCTGCTGTGCCCTTAGTCTCTTTGGGATAGTAGTCTGACTAGTTTTCTCCATGGCTGACTCCAGTGCAGGTTCCCTTTCTTTCCCTATCACACCTACTTTATTTATAAACCTTCTGGAGCTGACAAGAACAGTTGAGGCAGATTCGTGACAGAGAAATCTGTCGGTGCTGAGAGTATCAGGTAACAACCTTGGTCTTTCATCCAGTTCTACACCAATTAATACAATTAATCAACCTCCTCTGTGTGTGTGTGTGTGTGTGTGTGTGTGTGTGTGTGAGAGAGAGAGAGAGAGAGAGAGAGGCAATTTAAATCCCAGCAGGAAATTGTTCCCAAGCAAAGTGCGAGGATGATGGGTGGGGATAAGATAGAGCTGTGAACTTGAGACCCTGCCATGTGCATATTATCAAAGCCGCTGCGTTGTTTGTTCTTTTCTCCCTCTTGCTTGCTCAGAAAGATGTTTGTTTTCCTCAGCTTGGTGGCGGCCTTCCTTGCCCTCACAGCTGGTGCCCCAATACAACGGGCAAGCACCGGCCACAAGCTCCTGCTGGTATCCTTTGATGGCTTTCGGTGGAATTACGACCAAGATGTGGACACCCCCAATCTAGACACCATGGCAAGAGATGGGGTGAAGGCGCGCTACATCACTCCTCCTTTCGTCACCCAGACAAGCCCTATTCACTTCACTCTGCTGACTGGTGAGTGCCTGGAGACTGGGAAGAGAAGCGGTGGAGCAGAAAGCAGTGTTGAAAGAATTAAAAAGAAATGACAATTAACTCTTTCTTTCTCAGGATAGGAAAGTTGTCCAGGCTTGTTATTATTTGCAATTTTTTTACAGCCAGAACCCAACTGCCCACCCATCCTGGCTCATTCTGATACAAATAATGTCACCATGTCTTCCAACTGCCTGCTCAGCTGTCATCATTTACTTTATCAGTTTTCTACCAAGGGTAGATTTCCTCGCTTCTGAAAGCAAGGAGACAGCTCAGGTACAAGAATATCGCTCATTAGTCAAGACTTTGGCATTCAAAGATATTTATTGAGAGCAGAGGTGGGCAAATGCAGCTCTTAAGATCATAGAATAATAGAACTGTGGAGCCAGAAGTGCCCGGGCCTTCTGCAAGCATCGTACAGGAGCTGGTGCTGGGCTGGCCGGCCTTAGATGACATAAGTGAAGAGTGAAGAGGCTCGCAATCCAACCACATTTGGAAACCCAGAACTGCCCACCTCTGATTTAGAACAGGAGTGGCCAACTGTCAGCTTGGATCTGATCTATCACAGGAATTTTAATTCACCAACAGGATCCTTACCAGACTGAAATTAAGATACACCTTGGGAGTATCTAGTTTCTATTGGTTAATGAGCAGTATGAATAGTAGTTGCAAGGTTAGTTTTTTAGATACAATGAGTAACATGACAGTTACTTGGGTCTAACACACAGTTATTTTCAGATGTTACTTTGAAGGACATTTAAAGGCTTTTTGACAGGAATTTTTCATTTTTGTGCCATTCTTCAACCAATCTCTAGCAGCAAGGAGAATATGGGGGAGGGGGTTGACTTTTCTGTTTTCATAGTTGTATAATGAAATATCAGAATTCCCCACTAGAAGAGCTGTCAAGTTGCCATTTTGTGTTTGTTGTGGAAACCTTAGTCTTCCAAATTCTATTCCTCCCCACTACAATTATGAACTTCTGTAATATGTGACACATATGATATTATCAGCTCTTCAGACCATTCCTAGGATAGCTGGATTATTTTGACCCACAGGTGAGTGTCAAGGCAGAGGATATACTTATGTAGCCATCCTTCAGTCTCGAGAGACTATGGTAATGTGCTCTGAATAGAGGACTTGGAACAGAGTCTAGTGCGGTTGTGGATGCCAATTCGAGAGTGACAATCCCTTCCACACTCAGGACAAATACAGTCTGTCCCCCTGTCCAGCTCCTTGATTTTGCTGGTTTCAGGACTGCCTCGTTGCCTCGGCCTGCTCAACAAGGGTCACTTCAAATTGGGAGAGGCTGTGATGCAACGCCTGCCTCCAGGCTGAACGCTCAAGATGTCAAGGTTTCCCATCTGTTGAGGTCCATTCCTAAGGCCTTCAGCTCCTGCTTGCAGATATCCTTATGAAGAGGATATACTAGTGTTGTGGAATGCAGGTCATCAATCCCTCCTATTCATTCTACTGTTCTCACTCATGATCATGCATTCTTGCCTTTAAGTAAAAACGCACAATCCTATTAATACTGAAAATACATGGTGTGTATAGCCAAAGAATATGTTAAACAACTGTACAGATTTTTCTGCCTGAGTATAATGTATCACTGACCAAGTTAGTGAGGGATGATGGGAAATGTGGTTGAATATCTCTGCGGGGTAGTAGATTAGGAAAAACTGCCTTAGGAGAAAAGCAGACATTGAAGTTAGCATGTAATTAGAGCTGCAAGAATGTTCATATTGCACAGATGTGGACGAGGCAGTATTTTGGAGTTCATGAAATCAAGCTTCAAAGAAAACCCATGCTTTTAAGTCCTGAAGATCAATTACTGAAGAAAGCAATCTAATTTGCACACTCCCAGAGGTCAGAAAAGATCCCCCTGTGATGCTGAGATGCTCACATGAGTTAGGAATTTTCTTCTTCTAATCTCAAGCTATCTCAAACATCTGTTCCTGGCCTTAGTGAGTTTGTTTTTGGAGGCAGTGGTGGAACCTTGTGCCAGTTTCATTGGCTTCTTAGTGCCAGTATTCTGAGAACCAGCTCACTATATTTTGGTTTGTGACGAGCTTTAAATGTTCGGAACTAGTAGTCAAAATTCAGAGACGTTTGTGGCTCGTGGATGAAATACGTCTTTCCCCCAACACCAACATCCTGCCAATAGCCACAGCTTCTATGCCCAGTGAATGCCCAGTGAATGACTGAAGGCATTCTAATAGCGGGGCTGAGGAACCTTTGCCCTTCCAGATGTTTTGGACAGAAACTCTCTTGATCTCTTATCATTTGCCATGCTGCCTGGAGTTTCTGGGAATGGACATCCAGAACATCTGGCAGGCCAACCCTGCACAGAAGCAATGGTGATCATTTTTTGAAACTTTTGAACCTGTGCCCTTCTTTGGAGAGCAGAGACACTCAGATAATGGTAAAGTGGCAATGATATCATAACTAAGGCTCACCTCACCTTGTTCATGGCCCATTATCTAAATCTGTCATTTCATGGTCCATTATCTAAATCTATAGTTTCTTCTGCTTTGCATTTATGAGAAAAATACAGAGATAGAGCATTTTAGGGTGAGGAGAAACTCTGAGAAGGTTGCGAGGGGAATGCTGAGATGGCAGAAGCAAGTGGAAAGAAGATTCACAGAAGGTCAAGAGAAGTTGAAGGCCACTTCTTGAAAGTCCAGTCACTCACCAAGTGAGAGGGGTGGGTGTCCCAGGGTACCAACTGAACCACATCAATGGAGATCATCTGGTACCTCTTTCCTGAGTCAGGAGATTCATGGTCAAGCGGGATCTAGTGGGAGACCAACCCATCTAGAACAGAAATCAAAGAAGAAGCAGAGTCTGGTGTCAGGGTTTGTGGGAAAAGAACAAGGCAGTAATTTCAAGCCAGCAACAGTTGCCTAGAAAAATGTCCGTAAATGAGGCTGCCCTCCCCAAGGAAGTTTCTCTGCAGCTGTCTTAGATAACTGGCAAGCCTGCAGCAGAAATCAATCAGAGCCCCCAAAATGGGGGAAATGTGACCATTTCCCAGACCTTCTATGCTCTGATTGCCTCAAGTCTGGAGGTGTTGGCTTGTTTGGTGGTAAAGGTAGTAAATGTTTGAAGTGCAGGTGCTTATTGTGACAGTCTCCACAGCCACATCCCCAAGGAGAGACCTGAAATGGAGCTGGTCTTGTAAATCTATATTGACAAACCACTTGGGGCAGTTTTCCTCTCCTCTAAGAGAAAGTACATTGCTAGCAAGTGGGCCCATTGAAATCAATAGCTAAATGGCAATTCAACACTTATGTAATTGCTACTGAGAGTCAGTGTGTCTGCTTTAGCTGGGATTAGCAACAGGATACTTAAAGTCTTAAGTGCCCATTGAAGACCAAGCTGATCCTAAATAATTTGGATCACCAAAGGGGTAGCTGAGAACAATACAGTATTGCTTTGAAACTCCAAACAAGCAAATTTCCCCTAACTAACATGGAGAGTCTCCCGCCCACCTAGCGGTTCAAAAGCATGCAAATGCAAGTAGATAAATAGGGATGACCTCGGTGGGAAGGTAACAGCGTTCCGTGTCTAAGTCGCACTGGCCATGTGACCACGGAAGATTGTCTTCGGACAAAATGCTGGCTCTATGGCTTGGAAACGGGGATGAGCACTGCCCCCTAGAGTCGAGCACGACTGGACAAAAATTGTCAAGGGGAACCTTTACCTTTACCTAACATGGAGAGTAATTTTCAGTCTGCTGTAGTGGGTAAAGCCATGTACTGTACTAGGACTCAGGAGACCTGGGGTCAAATCCTCACTAGTCTAAGGAAATTCACTGAAGTGTTAGAACTGGTAGAACCACTGGTAAAACCAACCAGTTTCTCAGTCATCCAGGTGAGGTTATCTGGAAGCTGAGTCATGGCAACTGGACTTCTTTCTTATTAGGCTGAAAGGGTTCACTGCTCATCCAAGTAGCTTCTTCAGTCTGAGGAGAGTTGGTAGGAGACTCCCGATATATCTTCCATGTTGATTTCACCTCCCCTTGGTCTGAATAGGCTCTTTAGAAGGACAAAGAACTGGGGATGAGGGATAATACCACTTCTGCAGTCCTTCTCCAACCATTCTGC